AATCTGACGTGACATGTTCGTACGAACCCTTTGTACGAACAAAAGTAAGAGAAATTTAGGATAAGAATAAGAACATGTTCTTGCATGAGGCCCATTGGCTCTAGAGCTACTAGATACAGCATTAGCTCTCTTGGAACTTATGCCACAAATATATAAAATAATAAAAGCTGAAACTCTTATTCTAGGCAGCAGACATGCAGTGGACTGGTGAGGTGAGACTCCTCGCCTCGATGTACCTCATCCATCAAGGACTCCTCTTCAGAACCAGTTCCCTCCAGAGAACAGCAGCAGAACTTGGTGCTTCATATTTCTTCTCCTGTCAAACCACCACTCTTACAGCTTTTCTGTAGTCATTTTTAGATTTAGTATCTCTTTAAGAAAGTTGCCTCAGTTCTTTTTTCTTCTTGTTTTGGTTCATTAACTACATTAGTGTTTCTCATCAGCAGCTCTAATTAGATTTTTCTCTGCCAAGAAAACCTACTTATGTCAAGAAAATAAAAGCTTCCGCAGCAGCTTTTTCCACATGTTGTTCTTAAATCTTTTCAGTTTGTAATTCTAACATCTGCTCATCCTCCATGTTCTGTAATTAACAAACACAATGATAAAAGTCTTTCTGCACAAACTTCCTCTCATTCTGCAGCTCTGTTAATGAATCTATAGGAGATAAATCCACCTCATTAATAAACCTGGAGTGTCCCTGACTGTTCACACATTCAGCAGGTATCAGAGGACTATTAAAGGCTAATGTTGGTTGTGATATAATCATGCTGTGCGGGCCACTTACTGTAAAATGCTACTGATCTTGTTTTATTCCTCTCTCACCGACATGATGAGATGATCCGGAGAGAAGAGCTGTTAATTAGATTGACCTGAAATGACTGGACTACTGTTAGATTATATTACACCAACCAGGACAAGCTCAAAACGTCTGAACGCCGAATGCCAGATGAATTGTGTTTAGTTAAATGAGTCTGTTAAAAGTCTGTTTAAATCTGTAATATCTTAAACAACTGGCTGGATTACAATGTAACTTTAAAGTAATCTTGAATGTTCCTCTATAATTGAGTAACTTTTGGAGTCAGCCCAGTTCAAGATGGTCGCCACAAACAACTGAACTCAGTCAATTTAAAGGGGTCTAGTCTTTGACTAGTTGTAACAAAAGTCAGGGTGCAACACACAACAAGTCAGCACACAACCAGACATTTCATTTTTCACTGGGAAAATTTATTTTTCACCTGTTGCTGCCCTCGCATAGAGGACAATAGTTGCTTAGCTCAAGAGCTAATATATATAGCGTTAGCTTCAGAACTAATAAATAAAGACTGTGTCCAAACTCGGGCTGGGTCCTTCGAAGGCAGAATTCGTCGGCCACTTGTGTCAAAGCGACACACCACAGGCTGTCCAAATTCAAAGACTCTTGACAAATGTGTTCTCTTTTTTCCCTGATTTGAGGGACAGGTCTGTTGGATCCCTCTTGGATCACCCTACCCCATGATGCATTGCAGGCCAACCGGAGATTTCTTTTTGCTTAAAATGGCGGATGAAGCGAGAGAAAGGAGAAGAGTGTTAAATAAAAATCTGGCAGTATAAAAATTGAAAGTTTAAAAATGATTGTCTTAATGCTTTTGTCATTTGTATAGACGTGTTTTAATATTATTCTTGTCAGAACTCAAACGAGCTGGTATGATGAAATAAACGTGCACATACGGCGGGTCTGTTCGTTTTTCAAATATTGTTTTTTAACTAATTTAGATATTTTATATTAATAATACTGGGGTAAGGGTGGGAATAAATCTGAAGGCTAGACTGTCCAAATTCAGGCACACACAAGCACTTTTTTCCGTTCTTTGCAGTTGACCAAGGATTTGGCCCACCTACACCGGGTAGGCCAGGTCCTTCAAAGAATGCAACCCCTGAATTTGGACACAGCCATGGCCTCCATTAATAATAAATATGTTGTTAGCTCAGAAGCTAATAAATGTAGCATTAGTGCCAGCTACTAAACTAAAAACAGCAAAAGCAGCCATCCAATGCAGCAAAATGGAGATTTTACCCAGCAAATGTTGCTATATTTGAAAGCTGTGCACCTCCACCTAACGGAGGATGATGTCATTTTGTAGATAAAATATTGACATGTACTATGGGAGATGTAGTTTATGGGCAATGCTGGCTTTAACACAGGTTATTTTAGACCATGCATATTTTAAGCTCACACAGGCCTCATAAAAATCTGACAGTTAACMYKTGGCCCGTGGACCTTGGGTTTGACRTGTCAATCAATTCAAATTCAAAAATACTTTATTGATCCCAGAGGGAAATTATGTGTTGTTGTAACTCATTTAACTGAAGAGTTATTGTAGATGCTGATGGCTGTGGGCAGGAAAGATCTTCTGGTCTGTATTAATTTACAGTGAAACTGAAGAAGCCTCTGACTGAAGATACTGTTTTTCTATGACAGACTGATGAAGAGGATGGTCAGGGTTGTCCAAAATGTTCTTGATTTTATGTAAAATCCTTCTTTGCACCATAATCTCCAGAGATTCCACAGTCGTCCCCAGAACAGAACCAGCCTTCTTTATCCGGTTGTTTAGCCTTTTTAGGTCCCTGACTCTGATGCTGCTGCCCCAACAGATGATGGTAGAAGAGATGATCCTCTCAACAACAGACTTATAGATGATCTACAGAAGAGAAGATGCTTTCAATAACAGACTTATAGAAGATCTGTAGAAGAGATGATGCTCTCAACAATAGACTTATAGAACATCTACAGAAGACATGATGCTCTCAGCAACAGACATAGAAGATCTGTAGAAGAGATGACACTCTCAACAACAGACTTATAGATGATCTACAGAAGAGAAGATGCTTTCAATAACAGACTTATAGAAGATCTGTAGAAGAGATGACGCTCTCAACAACAGACTTGTAGAAGATCTACAGAAGACATGATGCTCTCAACAACAGACTTATACTGTAGAAGATCTGTAGAAGAGATGACGCTCTCAACAACAGACTTGTAGAAGATCTACAGAAGACATGATGCTCTCAACAACAGACGTATAGAACATCTACAGAAGAGATGATGCTCTCAACAACAGACGTATAGAACATCTACAGAAGACATGATGCTCTCAACAACAGACTTATACTGTAGAAGATCTGTAGAAGAGATGACGCTCTCAACAACAGACTTATAGAAGATCTGCAGATAAGATGACGCTCTCAACAACAGACTTATAGAAGATCTGTAGAAGAGATGACGCTCAACAACAGATTATAGATCTGTAGAAGAGATGATGCTCTCAACAACAGATTTATAGAAGATCTGTAGAAGAGATGACGCTCTCAACAACAGACTTATAGAAGATCTGTAGAAGAGACGACGCTCTCAACAACAGACTTACAGAAGATCTGTAGAAGAGATGATGCTCTCAGCAACAGATTATAGATCTGTAGAAGAGATGACACTCTCAACAACAGACTTATAGAAGATCTACAGAAGAGATTATGTTCTCAACAACAGATTATAGAAGATCTGCAGAAGAGATGATGCTCTCACCAACAGACTTATAGATCTACAGAAGAGGTGATGCTCTCAACAACAGACTTGTAGAAGATCTACAGAAGAGATGATGCTCTCAACAACAGACTTGTAGAAGATCTACAGAAGAGATGATGCTCTCAACAACAGATTATAGAAAATCTGTAGAAGAGATTACACTCTCAACAACAGACTTATAGAAAATTTGTAGAAGAGATGGCACTCTCAGCAAAAGTTTTATAGAAGATCTGCAGAAGAGATGACACTCTCAACAACAGATTATAGAAGATTTGTAGAAGAGATGATGCTCTCAACAACAGACTTATAGATCTACAGAAGAGATGATGCTCTCAACAACAGACTTATAGATCTACAGAAGAGATTATGCTCTCAACAACAGACTTATAGAAGATCTGCAGTAGATATGATGCTGTCAACAACAGACTTATAGAATATCTACAGAAGAGATGATGCTCTCAACAACAGACTTGTAGAAGATCTACAGAAGAGATGATGCTCTCAACAACAGACTTATAGAAGATCTACAAAAGAGACGATGCACTCAACAACAGACTTATAGAAGATCTGTAGCATTTTGCTGCAGATATTGAAGGATCTCAGCTTCCTCAAGAAGTACAGTCTGCTCTGTCCTTTCTTGTAGACTGTTTCACTGTTGAGTCTCCAGTACAGTCTGTTGTCCAGATGAACACCGGTGTATTTACATTCCTCAACCACCTCCACATCTCCAATGTGTGAGGATGTGTRTTTTTGGTTGTTTTGTGTTTTCCCCGTGTCACCACCTTTCAATTCTCCTCAGTTTGTCTCTAGGTCATTCTGTTTATCATCCTCACCTGTCTTCAATGTCCAATCAGTCCTCCTCCCAGGTGTTTGTCATTTCCTCTCTCCTTCTGTTTGTTTAAATTGTCCTCCAACTGGATCATTACATGGCTTTGCCTCCTGTTTCATTGTCCTTGTGTTTCCCATGGCTCTTTAGTGTTTTGATTTATTTTGCTGCCCTGTCAGCTTTTTATTTTTGTTAAATAAATATTTTTTTATTATACTTCTTTTCTACATCCGGATCTGGGTTCATTCCTTCGTCAAACATAGCAGAATGATCCAGCCAAGACAAAGCCACCTGGAAAGGAAGTTTTATAGATTTTTGTGAAAAAGAAAATCTTTTTGCTCCGCTTGACACATGGGGAATTTGACTCGGAGCGCGGCCAGGACCCAGAGGGTCCAGCAACAGACCACCATCCGAGTGGGAGGTTTTCAGATGGCGCCTGCCTCACTCACCCAGAGATGTGAGCACTGGGATCCAGAGGTTGAGGTCCTCCAGTCCCCTCAGGACACAGTTTTGGGGGACTCGTCAGGCAATAAAACCCACTCCACCATCCGGCTCTTCTCAGCGCCACTGCCGCCAGCGGAGGAAAGCGACAGTTCCTCCCGAGCCTTCTGGGCTTTTCTTCACAGAGCCAGAGGGCAGTGAACCAGATTATGGTCCTGAAAGTGATCTATTCTGCCCAGAGTATGGGGGTTATTGCTCCGACAAGCCGGTGTTTCCTCGTCCTCCAACGTCATGTCCGAGAGGGTCTCGGACAACGCCTCTCCCTTCAGTGCCACCTCCGAGTAGGTCCCCGAGACCTCGAGCTGTCGGCTCCTCCAACAGAATCGATGCCTCATCATGAGAGCGTTCAATTCTTGGTCAATCACTCACCACAACTACCAATCGTTTTAGGAGCATCTTGGTTGCAAAAACACAATCCTCATATTGATTGGGTAAATAAAGAAATTGTAGAGTGATCTGAACAGTGTTTGGCTAATTGTTTATTAAATGCTACCTCTTCTGAGAACTCTGATGTCACTAAGGAACCAAGTCCTGGTTTAAAACAAGTCCCATCTGTTTATCATGATTTAAGAAAAGTGTTTAATAAAAGTAAAGCGACTTCTATCCCTCCTCACAGGCCCTATGACTGCCCCATAGACCTCCTTCCAGGTTCTATTCCCCCCAGGGGGAAGTTGTATTCATTGTCCCAACTCGAAAGTCAAGCCATGAGGGATTATTTTGAAGATTCACTTAAATCTGGTATTATACGGCCATCCTCTTCTCCTGCTGGGGCAGGTTTCTTCTTTGTAGAGAAAAAGGATGGGTCTTTGCGCCCCTGCATTGATTATCGAGGCTTAAATGAACTAACCATCAAAAACAAATACCCTCCACCCCTCATGTGTACCGCTTTTGATCTTATTCGGGGAGCTAAGATTTTTACCAAGGTAGACCTCAGAAATACGTACCACTTGGTATGAATTAAAGAAGGAGATGAGTGGAGGACCACTGGACATTATGAATACCTAGTCATGCCTTTTGGGCTTACTAACGCCCCGGCTGTCTTTCAAGTCCTAATAAACGATGTCCTAAGAGATTACATTAATGTCAATGCCTTTGTTTATTTAGATGGCATTCTTATAT